TCATCTGCTTCAATTTAGTTGAAAGTATCAAATTGAAAGATTCGCCAATAGTAGAAACAAACGTTCGTTTGTCTTTAATTTATTCTCCTGAAATGCTTCGAATGTGCATGTCATTGAGAACCTTGGTAAGGAGTCAAGTTGACAGAATGACAGTACCTTTATTTTCTAGGAGATGCGTAGTACACTCTAGAGTGCATGTTGGTTCCAATGTGTACCCATTCATTGTTTGTATTTCCCCACAAACATCCTTGTTCAAGCTTTAGAGTGAGTGCCTGTCTGGGTTGCCTTCTTTCGTTGAATCAACTGCACCCCACCCCATTTCAGTCGCTAAAATTTTTTATCGAACGGTCGTTAGAGGAGGTGGTGCATCGAGGTGGTATATTCTAACAGTGCAACTGAATGTCCTAGCAGTACTGCAACTTAAAGTAGACGTGTTTTAGAGAATATTTGAATTCTGGGTAGAGATGAAGGAGGTGGAATCGAGGCTGAGCAATTGCTCTTATTTATTGCAGAACAAGTGCTTCCGGATTTTGTCATATTTTAGGCTTCTAATTTGCATGGAAGATAATTTTTCTGTAGATATTGGTCTAGTTCTTGTAGAAGTCCTTCGAAGATAGCCTAGGGTTGCTGTTGAAATGACGTGCTGTCGAATGGTTATGCATAAATAGCGAAGGAATAAAGTCTAGTGTGAAAAGGGATGAAGTGGAAGAAGGAGTGGGAGTTGTCTTGGGAGTAGACAATGAAGTGGAATGAATTGTCCTATTGAAATGACATATTTTCTATCCAGATTTCAGACAGGATTGAAGAAACTAGTGTGGAGGAAGTGGAAAACTCCTTTCCAAATATTTGCCTTGGTCTAATTGCATCGCAAATTCCCGTAGAGTTGCCCGGACTTTCTATTAATCTCAAAAGGTAAGAAATTATTTTCTTAACTTGCGAAATGGTAGCATTAGCAATAGGATCGGTCTGGTCCTGTGAAAATCCTACTACTGTCTTTGTGTGTTGGTTTTCCAAGTCAAAGTAGTCAGTGTTCAAACTTGTAAAGGCATGGAAAGCGCTTTACGTTTCCATTGATTTTAATGTCGAAAAAAGACAATTTTGCAATTTAAATTAGGTGGAAACATCTGAACCCCTTAGAAATTTGAAAGATTTGTGAGTTTTAAAGTGAAGCAATAGTAGTGATAATGAAGGAAGCAAAGAATGCTTACTTAATCTGAGCCAAGTGATTTTCCGTTTACTTTTTCATCTTATTATCATGTTCTCCGTTATATAAAGAAGGAATAAGAATATTGCATAATGACAATCGATCAGACAAAACGTCGATTTGCCAGGATATTTGCAATTAATTTTCATGTGATAATTGCTAACGAAAACGTGTGTCCGCTTATACATTTTCCCTTCCATACAATTCTACAATGAGCACACAAGTTTCCTCAATTTAGACATACATTATCCTGCAGTATTTAAATTAGGATGACTTCGCCATGGTTTGGTTCGCCTGGGGTTCTCAAAAGTGCATTCTAGTTAATATAATCCATATCATGTGGCTAATTTTGCAATTTGAGTTTTTCAAGACAGTGATAAGCTGTGAGCATTGAGTAAAATCTGAACAACTCACAAACTTTTCCACTTTTTGCTCTTCCTCATTATCGGTTTCTTCTCAATTAGTGCCAATTTAGTCATAACTTTGAGCACCTATGTAGAATCTTGTAGTCTGTAATTCGGTGATTGATGCGTCTTTTTCCTTTTCTCGTGGTAGCATTTCATAGATCCCTCACTCTAATGTTAATGATCTCGTCTCATTTGTTTTTTCTTTTTGGGTTATTCCAACTGCGACAAAATGCGTAGTAGCATTCATAATGAAATCCCTCTTCTTCCCCCCCCCCTCCCCCCTCCTTCCTACACCACGTGTGACTCATGTTCTGTCATGTCTGCTTCCGATTAATCTAATTATTCTTTTGTCATAGTGACGAGCAGAAGGTGGTTGAACAACTTGCCCAAATTGGTGAAAAGATCAATGCGCTTTTTGGCTCGGAGATTGAAAGTATGCTGGGTCAATTCCATTCGACTATTTCACCCTTTGGAATTCTTTCTAAAATCTTCTCAGGGTGAGTTCACTATTGAAGTTCTATTTATTTCCTGCTATTCATCTAGGCTTATCAGAATATACCTACGTCTGTTCTGTTAAGGCTATTTAAAGATAAAGAATATTCGTGGGGCAAAATTTTTGCTTTCATCCACTTTGGAGTCAAGCTCTTCTTAAAATCTATCGACAATATCATTCCCATCAAGCTGAAAGATACGTGTTTTGAAATAGTGAAAGCGATAGGAATTCAGCTTGCCAAGGGAGCCTTCGAGTGGATAGCAAAGCGTGGTGGATGGGTGAGTCTTTCGATTTATTTAGCAGGTGGAATTTTTTAATCTCCCTCTAAAGTGTTTCTGGGTAATGGAATCTGATGGCTAAATTTCTAGACCCCACTGAATGGCGGGCATTTCCAGCATGAATCGAAGTTCCATTATCTCCGTTTATGAATAGGTAATTGATATTTTGTAAGTGGACCGGTTTGACCGGTTGATCGATTTTCATGCCATGACACTTAGGTCGATTGGCAGGCGTCATTTGTTGTAATAAAGTGTAATATAATTAAGAAAGAAGCTTCCTTTTTGCACAAACGCATTCGGGTTTCAAAGCTTATTTTGTCTTTCCTTTTAGCGAAGGATCGTGTCCGTCGAAGATTCCATTGCATTGCCTCTCGTAGGCGCAGTGGGTGCAGTAGGCGCAGTAGGCGTAGTAGCGGTTGGACTTATAAAATTCATTCGTTTGTGGCTTTAATACAACCGAGGCAGCTATTTCTATCCATCGGTTGATTGCAGTTGACGAGCGCTGAACCTAACACGGTGCACAAATTTTCAACGCAACGTTTTATTAAATTTTCAAACTTTTATGATTTACTTGTTTGCGTTGCGCAATAAGCAGATAGAAGGCGATATTCTTTTCACTTGATGGGTTTTATTTTACTTGCTTTCAGCCTCTAATAACTGTTAATGTGGGCCAGTTTAATGTAAGTTTTGACACTACTAGACTTTGCAAAATGACTTCATCTCGGTAGATTCGTGTCGGTTCAGGCAGATTAGAATACGCGGAGATGTGGGGATGGATGAAACTAGGCTCTAGAGAGGAAGAGATAGTGAGCTAGAATAGTCATATGTTGAAATCAGCAAGATAGAAGAAGTCAATCCCTTGATGCTATCGCAAGTTCACGTAGGTGAAACAGTAAGAGCATCTTGTAATATTGAGATTCACTGTAGAATTTCCACCATTGATTGGAATGGATTTGGAGGCCAATTAGGAAATTGCACACTGGAAGCTTGTGACGACGCCTTCTCCATAGCGCTGGAAGTGGACGCGTCTTAGAAATTCACTCCCTCAGTGCCATGGCAATTGAAGAGCTGAGCCAATGGGTTCCTGTCTTTGGGTTGTTATGAAAGTGTCCTTGGTTAAAATAATCTAAAGGGACAAACATTCCGTTTATAAGTTTAATGAAATAGCTGGCTTTCACGAAATCTTGGCTCAAATGGCAATCTTAGGGTAATTCGAGGAAGAAAAACGAAGTGAATGGCTCCCACTTTTTTGGAGGTGTAATATCGATAACACCAATAGGGGCTTCAAGTGTAGGTCTGAAAGAAGACAATGTCACTTGCAATGCTAAGTTCAATGCACTACGACGACGAATAATAACTAGTTGAGATTCCATTTCCAAAGTTTATGCGTCAGTTCGTTCCAATTATTGAAATCTTTATTTCTCATAAGAAAAGAACTTTAATTTGAAGTGGATATAAAGGACAATTCTCTTGCTGTCATTGAAAGAGAGAGAGTGAGAGAGAGGGGGACATTTTACTTATGAATAGTGCAATCCATGCACTATTCCGTATTGTTGAAGACGTTCAAACACCTGTCGCAGGTGTTGTTTGTGCTCGTCCGGGTTGGAGCTGGTGATGAGCACATCGTCGATGTAGGTAAAGACGAAATCTAACCCTCGAAAGACTTGATCCATGAAACGTTGGAATGATTGCGCCGCGTTGCGGTGGCCGAAAGGCATGCGCAGGTACTCAAACAAACCGAATGGTGTTATTACCGTAGTCTTTGCAATGTCTTCGGCCGCCATCGGGATTTGATGGTAAGCCCTAACAAGGTCAAGCTTAGAGAAAATGGTTTTTCCGTGTAACTGCAACGAAAAATCATGGATATGGGGTATGGGATATCGGTCAGGGACAGTGATTCGATTTAGAGCCCGGTAGTCTCCGCATGGTCTCCAGTCACCGTTTTTCTTCACGACCATGTGTAATGGGGAAGCCCAAGGACTGTTTGAGGGTCGAACGATGCCTAACGTAACCATGTGTTGGAATTCCTGTTTGGCTGCGCGTAGTTTGTCAGGGTGCAGACGGCGAGCCCTTGCGAAGACTGCTTGTCCTGTCGTACTGATATGGTGATGCACTCCATGTTTTGGCTCCAGCATTTCTGTTTGTGCATGGAAGAGCGATGGGAATTCGGATAACAACTTAGCGAAAGGGTCCGTAGTTGGAAGGACAACATTAAGACCGAAGGTATTTTCGGGTTCTGTAGAACACCCCACTTGCGATGACGTGGCGTTATCCTGTAGAGTTCTGTCTCGGAGGTTTACTTATAACTGGAACTTGGTAAGGAAATCAGCGCCAGTGATGGGATTTTTAACATCTGCGATAATAAAGGTGAAGGGGAACTTTTGGCGGAGGCCTAAGTCTATATTAAGAAACTTCCTGCTGTAGACGGTAATCTTAGAGTTGTTGGCTGCAAAAAGTGGGTTTCCGGTTGGTTTTAGACAACGTTTTTTCTAGTATATGAGGAATAACGCTGACTTCAGAACCCGTGTCGACCAGAAATCTGATCTTTGAATTTCTGTCAGTGACATGAAGGAGGCGACTTTGGAAATGGCCAGGGTCAGTAGTCGCCCTTACTGCCTGACGTTTGAGTTTTTTTTGTGAGCTCCTCTTTTGATATGTACAACCGGTAACGCACTTCTGGGCCTCATCTCCGAATGTCCTGTGGTAAAAACAGATGGAATTATGAAGCTTGTAGGGGCTTCGGTATCGTCTTCTAGGCTCGAAACGTCAATCGCGCTCTTCGGGCTGGTTGCGTTGAGAAACAAGGTCTGCCACGGTTAGCGACAGATTTTTTAGCTGTTCGTTAATTGCGTCAAGTTGTTTGTTATCAGTACTAGTAGAATTTGAAGTCTTGACCGCATTAATTTCGGGCTTCTGATAACAGCGATGGACTATATCAGCCACTTCCGCTAGTTTGTCCAAGTTATCTTGATTAGGGTGTGTGGCAACCGCCGCGGAGATGTGAGCAGGTAGGTTGTTCCGCCAGAGATCCTTTAAGAAATTGTCACCCAAATCATAACTACCAGCCAGAGAGCGGATATGAAGTAGAAGTTCAGAAGGAGAACGATCTCCGAGTTCGACTTGGGACATTATTTTCTGCAATTGGTCCCCTCGCGGAGCAGAAAAACGATTGATGACGGCTTGCTTGAGTTGATCGTATGAGTCGCCATCTAGCGGCTTGGAGATAATATGTCTGAACTGTTTGACTATCGTAGTCGGGAGCGTTCCTGTAACATATTGGAACCATGTTGTTCGCTTGATAATAACTTTTGCCTCAAGAATGTTTTCGAACTGCGTAAACCAAATATCAGGGCATTGGGGGTCGAAAACAGGATTGCACACAGAGAAACCGAGTGTATCGGAGTTTAGATTAAACTCTTTGGACATCGTGATTTGGTAGGAGGACGGAAGTAGAAGACTGGAGAAGATTGAACAAAACAAAAAGTATTCGCCGAATAAATGAAGGAAGGTGCTTTTGTTGAACCGGGCGAGTTGAGCGATTGAAAGGAAGTCGCGATACCAGAGAGATTATTCCACTGCTGAGAGGTTGTAGTCAGGCTTGATCACGTCAGGGTCACCAAATTGTAACGGTTTAGCTACCTCAATAACCTTGACTATTCTCAGAAATCTCTGTAACAATTTCTTCCCACTCGAAAGTCCCCGTGAATCAGCACGGGATACGTTTATTCGGTACGTATATTGATAGCGATGTGTGTGTTTGGCAAAGCGATTAGTTATCAGATAATTCTAGCATGATTCGTGTGAACATTAATAGCGAAATATTTTTGAGTAGGGTTCTATAGCAGGATTTCTATTTGGTCATTGATGGAGTTTCCCACACCCTCAATTCATGAGTCTGTTCCAAGAGCCGAAAATTGGTTTGCGATACAATTAGGCAGTTCACAAGAATTCCTTCACGGTGCGCAATCAAATAATCATAATAATATCCATTTGACATCAGTACCGGTTGAATGTAAATTTTATTTCAAGGAACTATTTTCGGAACCAAATAATGAATGTGTCAGGCGTTTTTCGAAAGACCACCCATTCGAATTAGCGCGAATACGTATGAAATAGTTTATTTCTCTATTATCGCTCGTAGGATCCTATTCGGGTGGAGGGTCTTTCGGAAACACCCTAGAAAATTCGTTTCACACTCCTTTTTCGAGAGTGGTTCATTTAAAATTGGCAACAATTGCAGCTCATCAACGATTTCCAGAATGGCAATCTCCACGTGTGATACTATGTTCTCACTTTGAGTATTGCGAAAAGTGAAAGCATGTGACCTTAACGCCTTTGACCATTGTTGGGTGTTGGCTTATGAATGGTTGCAAGTAACAACTGAAATACGACGTGTTTGGGTTACTTTACCTTCTTTAGCCTGTCTTCTTTTGATTGATCGGAGGAAATTTGGAGGTTTCGGGTTTGATTTTATTGTTTCTACAAAATCATAATAACATTTTGAAAGTATAATTTGGGTAGTAAGTGCCTAGCCTTTTATATAATCTTTACCTCCACTTGGTGCACACTGAGCAACTTATACTCATACAGCAAGAATGCCTGTAATCCGACAGATGACTTCAAACTTCCATGACCCAACTCTATGTCGTATTCGATCACTTGCACAGTACTCACCTCACCTTACCTTTTTCTCTGCCTTTGTGTCTGTCTCTTGTACGTCTGTGAATCGCTCTTCTGTTCTCCACATTCCACTTTTTGTGACTTGGTCAGTTACTCCCCTCTGAGAAGCTCGAAGTCCGCTAAAGGACTAATGACAACTTTCACAAAACCTGCCGTTTGATATAATTAAATAAATAAATACGTTTCCCCTTTAATTATCGCACAAATGCCATCTTTTAGTAGCTTATTTGCATTAATTAAGCTCTGTACATTAGCCACCCATAAAGAAGTAACAAAAATGACCTTGGCACTTTTCCAATAATTACTTCCTCCTGTCCGTTTAGGGATAAAGCATCCCCCAATTAAAGTGAAATATATTTGTGTGTATTGAAGTAATTATCTCTGGTAAATCCCGATCTTGGTGGTATTCTTAATTAAAACCCAATATTTGCCTTAATTTAACACTTCCAAGGTTATCTGAGCAAATGTTGGGTTTGTGCTTTCAACCAGCTTATGACATAAGCCAACGAACAGCAGAGTCTGGACAGTCACAGTACGAAAGTAGTAATTGTATATTCACTCGTCTGTTGTTTTAATGAAAAATTCTCGTCTGTTTCAGCTTTATTTTAGCCCGAAAATATCGGAAAGTGGTTAAGATTGTTTTCAATCAAAATATCACAGTAGTTAAATGTGAGGGAAGCCCTAAATTTCAACCACCAATGCCGTCTTCCCATCCACAACAGAAGTGAGTAGGAAATGGGTGAAAGGTTCGCGCTTACATTCTTTACGACA